ATAAATCCAGGTTTTAAAAAGGCTGGGTTTTTTTTCATTTTTTTGGTTAGATATAATTGTTCTGAACATCCGTTTGTTTCTGCACTTTTTGAGAACCAAGGACTATGGTGCCCACCAAAAAAATGAAAAAAAACCCAGCCTTTTTAAAACCTGGATTTATTCTTTCACCATTTATGATTATTCAGCACAAACACAGAATTAAATTAACATCAACATCATTCGCATAACAACAAAACATTCCCTTGGGTTCCCTGCAGAAGCTGGTTGTTTATCTCATGTTACAGGTACGTTCCGCCGTGCGACATTTTGAAGCTCGCTGTTGAGACCTAAGACCTTAACATCAGCGTGTTATTACGTAATGAATGGAAAAGAACGGGGAAGGGCCTTGTGCTGCTGGTGGTAAACAAATTCTTGAGTGAGACAGGGAGAAAATAGATGGCTGAGGCATTTAAAGGCCAGTAATAAAGCTGTCTTTACAGGAGGAGAGAATGAACTGATGAGTTATTGTTTACATCAAGTGAGCAAAGTGATGCAAGAATGAATATCAGAGAGGCAAACAGATAAGTGATGTGGAGTGTCCATGCGCCTTCAGGGTCTAAATTTAGAGACACACAGGGTCCAGGGCACAGAGAGAACAAGATGTCTTGGTTACGGCTGCAGAAAGTTGATCCTGTGTCTGAAACAGGGGGACGGTCCCTTCTGTTAGTCTGTGTTAGGGAGGAACGCCTCCCCTGATATCTTTAAACCAGTCTCTGCTGGTCTCACCGAGTCTCACCTCTGACTTCAGCTGGACATGGCTGGTTTTACCTCTCAGGAATGCAGCCGGTGACTCTGAACAGGAGTGACATCAGAGGTCTCCGTCAGCATTCCTGCATCAGAGAACAGGAACAATTTTTGTTTTCAGCGTTTCAGCAATGGATTATTCACAAACAATTAAAAACCAAGCATTCTCTGGATGAATGCATATCGCCCGCCACCTTCCACAGCAGAGTCTACAAAGTTTTCTCAATAAGCTTCACAAGATAATTAAAGTAAAGGTTTTATTAGACGGATGGAAGCTGTGATGTAGTATGTTATCTAGAATTAAGTAACATAAGAAAGTTCAATTTTTATTGTAAAATATATTTCTCTTCTTCTGTGATATACTAAAACAAACTAAACCCCCCTTTTTCAACCCATCTCACAGTAAGTGCACCACTATGCAAACTTTCTAACTTTCAATAATTCCATTGTTTTAAAGTTAGATTAAGTCAAAATAACTTTTTTTAATAAATGCATGAAGATTTGAAAAGTTATTTTGCAAACAAAAAGCACACAAACAAAGAAAACCATAATTATAAACTCATCAGACTTCAAGAAATGACGTCTGAATGACGCAACTTTCTCTGACGTGTTTTGATTTCGTCCTTTTGGAGGAAATTGAAAAGACTGTTACGATAATAAAAATGTAGTGAACTCGATGCACGTACAGTACAGGTCCTTCTCAAAAAATTAGCATATTGTGATAAAGGTCATTATTTTCCATAATGTAATGATAAAAATGAAACTTTCATATATTTCAGATTCATTGCACACCAACTGAAATATTTCAGGTCTTTAATTGTTTTAATACTGATGATTATGGCACACAGCTCATGAAAACCCAAAATGCCTGTCCCAAAAAATTAGCATATTTCATCCCACCAATGAAAGACAAGTGTTTTTAATACAAAAAACACCAACCTTCC